GAGTACCTGGAAGTGGAATGATTCAGAGTTCTGCACAACCCTACCAGAGCATGACAGTACCAAGTTTCATTAAATAAGATTCCAGCTGATGTCCAGTAATAATAAGCATGCCTATGTCTTTTTCAACGCCAGGCATGTTGGGCAATGGCCTAGGATAAAAAGGACTCAGAGAAGTAAGGGGAGAATTATGATTAAGAATGAAAACATTGCAAACTTCCGGTATCTCCCTAGAAAGATGCAAGTTGAATGGTTCCAGCCACAGCCATACCCAGTGTGTACTAACAAGTTAAAATATTACTTAAGAAAAAAAGGTGCAAGAAATAGAAATATACTGGAACCAGGACAGACTGAGGGTCCAGATCTCCTGCCTGATAATATCCTATTTCAACTGACAGTTAATTGGGTAAAGTTATGAGCTGAACCCTAATGGTAAGGAGGTGATTTTACCTTTATATTAAACAACATTTATCTCCAGCGGGGAAGTACAAAACCTAAAAAAGGAGACTGAGCCACTGATCCAACAGGAAATTCAGCAAAGAAGTAAAGTGAATCAAGCCTACAGGAGTGAAAGAGTGGCATGGATACATTTTTCTTGGTCTCACAAAAAAAAAAAAAAAAGGTGAGGATATTAAAAAAAAAATATTAAAATAATGAAAACACCAGAAAAAATGTCTGATCTAGAAGCAGTGCCCATTACATAACATTCTGGTACAGACACAGAATGGCAGGTTAAACAACATTACAGTGTAATGATCAGTTTTCTAAAGCACTCAGTGAATTTTACAGAAGCAGCATGGTTCCATGCACCACTGAGCTCCAGCAGTTTTACACAGCCAGAATTACTAAGCATAACATGTGCAAAAAGAGACATCTTCATGATCAGAAGTTGACACAAATACATGCAGAAGAACAGATAATAAAATGTAAAGGTCCACAGGCATAGCAGATAAGGCCAAGAGTCTCAACCCTAATTCACAGGTTAGAGAAATGTGGGATAAAGAGGACTGGGGAGATTACACTGCTCTCCTAGTGTAATTATGATCCATGGTTACACATGCTTCAGCTACACAAAAATAAATGTCTAGTCTTAATGCAAATGATGTTCATTACTTCAAGATGTTAAGTTAGTACTATACACATCGCTACCAATTTCACGTGAAATCCCATGCATCCTGGCACATCACAACTCAGTATTGCTACAAGAGAGGCGTGAGGAAAAGCCATGCAGTCTGCAGATGCTTTCATACAGAAAGACAGTACAAACTGATACTCTTCTATGATTTCCTTCAAACATTGGAGTGTTGTCAAACACATAGGAAATTAACGACCTATTTAAAATGTCTCTGTTGGATGCTATAACAACTTCTTTCAAGTCTGAAATGACCACTACACTGGCAGTCTGTAGGACTTTTGCAAAGGTGTGCTAGGTAGCTTTATTGTTACGCACAAAACTGCCACTGTTAAATTCACTCCAAAGTGCTTGCTCTAGAATTAGCATTACAAATCCCACTCTCTAATTAGCTTACAAGCACAATTTACTTCATCTATACCTGTAAATTAAGCTGCCCTGTCAGTGCTTAGCTGCATTGCTAAAATTTGATTGCCTGTTTTTAACTAACCTGCAGTAGAGAACCTCTGCCTTAACTGTACTAAAAACTACAACTCGGCAGCAGTGCAAGTCAGGCATGTTTTGCTAGGAAGAACGGCTCCAGAGCCCTCTCCTAGCAATGACTTCCCTTGGCTGCAAATCCTTTCTGATCATTCTCTCCCCTTTTCTCTCCTCTAAGGCTTCAGAGCCTGAGCCAAGCACTGGGGAATCTGCAAGATCCACAACGTATTAGAAGGGGAAGGCCACTTTGCACCTACAAACTACTGCTTCCACGACTCTTGGGGAGGTCTCTTCTCTCTAACATCTTCCTCATTAGTCCTTCTACCCTTAATTTTCCTATCACCAGCTCCCTTTTGTACTACATCCCCACCATCTGAGAGGGGGGTGACGTTAAAGGATGATGATTATCTGGACTTTACCAATATTCAATTTGTCTTGTAATGTTACTGCAGAATGCGATGCCCTCCCCTTCCCTTCTCAAAATGCAAGGTTACAACACCAAGTCACACTGGAAGTATAGCATAGAGCACGCAAATCAGTATTCATGACTGCCAGAAAAAAATGTCATTTGCATAACCAGTCATGGGGAAAGTGTTTGTCAAAAAGAGACATCCTTTTCCTGATACCAATCTGAAAATGCTAAAATATAAGCTGCTAAGCAGCAGCGGCAGCAGTGATTTGGCTGAATGTATTGGAAAGGATAAAGAAATGTGAATCATTCACTTAACAGGTATCCCACATTGGTACAAAGGACTTCTGAAACAGAAGTTTGTTGCTGAAGGCATTTTTATTATTTTCAAAACAGAAGGTGCTTGAATGACCATGTGCAAAATGTAATTAATTTTTCTGGTTTGATGACAGACATTAAAACCAAACCTTTAAGAAAGTAGCTTAAACAACACAGATGAAGTTCCCCTGTGATTCGTTATTTCCATGACAAGAACAGTTGATGAAATGGTTACAAAAGGCATTACAGTTTTTAGTGTGGGACTGGAGAATATGTTACGGTTACATTCTGTTACTCCCTTGCAGAGAAGGAGTCAAACACAGGCTTATTTTCACTTAGAAAATGATGCCCTAAGAAACTGGCATAGATGCTTGTGTATCAATTAATGAAAAAGAACATCTGTTCTTTTTCAAGAAAGGAGAGGACAGGAAAGGAAAAGACACTATTACCTAAAAGCAAGCTGGATCATTTTCGATCTACAAAGTTTTCTTTCCTTGAGTGCCACATACATGCACTGCCAGTTTAGGGTCATTAAAGCTTTTTGTAAAAGTGGAATGATGTCCACAATGTCTGATAGGAATTACTACCATCATTTGTCATTGCTATTAACTAGTGTTTAAAACATTGTTTGCCATAAATAGGAGAAATGAATACAAGAAGTACAATAGGAATATGTCAAACAAACAAACAAAAAACCCCAAAACACACATAGCAAAATGAAATGCAAAGTCTTTGCGAAAGCACACATTTGAGTTGTCAATACCTGAACACCTGGCAATGAAATAATGAACAGTAAGTTGCTCTTGCACTATGCATGCCAAATTCAATACTGAGGATCCAGACAACTCCTCAAGAAATGAAAGTAATTACAATTTAACACCACTTGTAAATACCACCTGTAAGTCACAGAAAGGTAAGAAAAATAACGTGTGTCTTGACGCTGACACACAACATTCCTTTTTATAACAACGAAGACTTTGGGTTAAATGGGATGAAGTGCAATTATTACCAAGTTATAATCTAAAAAGAGAGTGACACTAACTAATGCCTATTTGCTAAGCATTTATAATAAGCAGGACAGCATATACTTGTAACTACCCTCATTTTTAACGCCCTTTGGTGACAACTCTGAAGCTGTGGATTACCTGAGAGGAAAACACTGATTCTCTAACCAAGATTTCTCCTAGGAAAGTGTTTGACGTAACTAAACTCCGGGAACACAGTAAGTTATCAGGGGGTGGGAATCAAGAGAACTACACATCCCAGAAAGCCAACAACCTCAAAATTAGTGTGCCAGTCCAAGTTACAAATGTATGGAGGACTGATTTAACAACTGAGCTGGAGTCAGTTCTACTGCAGTCTTACAACACCACATTTAGTTTACAAAGAGTGAAACAGCAGCATGAGGAAAGATTGAAGAGAGAGAAAGAAGGTCATTTTTAGTCACTGGGCTATAGGGTATAAGGGACTGGATGGGTCAAACAGCTGCTCCTTTTATTTCTACAAAGCATAAAAACTTTAATACTAGACATTAAGTGGTTCTCCATGGAATCAAACAGCCCAATCCCTAATTAGGATCAAGAACCTCAGCATAGGACTCTTAAACTCAGGCTGTTCTATGAATACCCACTTCAGCTTTTTATCAAATCAGCTTCAATGAACTTCATTTCCTCCCAAAACTGAAGAACTCAAAGCCTCAAAAATGGGAGAAAAAAAATGCAGCCCTACTTCACATCAGTGATGAATATTCTGGAAATCCCTTCACTATTATGTAGCAAATAACTTTTTCTGGATACTTAATTATTTATTGTAAGGCTCAAAACCAAACTCAACGAGACAATGAGATTAGGTACTGTAAGATGTTGAATCTCAATTTACACAGACACAGTCAAATAACTTGCATTTTTCTTTCCATCAGCTCTAAGAAGTTACAGTATTTTCCTATCAATTTCTAAGCAAGCAAGAATTAAGATAAGCCTTAAGAGCCTTACTTGAGATTCCCACATTAACACTTTCAGCAAAGGAAAAAATACGTAGTGGACAGAAAGTCAATAGAATGGTAATCTTGCTTTAGAAACACACACATAAGTACATACATAAAATTTTGAGCAATTATGGCACAAGGATACAAAGGAGTAAAAAAGGGTTTAAATGCCTTATTCTCTTGAGGGCGGACCAAAAGGACTTTCAGAAGCTGCCTTTACTAAAAAAGAATCCCTGTATTACGTGCCTAGTTTTGCAGGATACAGCCTCTGGATTATTCAGGCAAGCAAAATGCCTTCTGAACTCCCTAGTGTCTGTTTGGCATTTTCCACTGATGAAAGAAACCAAACTTCATTTTATTTATTTCCACCCTTCAAGATGTGCGTTCTAAAACTGAGTAATTTTTGAGTGCAATTCTCACATAAGCGTAGGTGGTATAAACTTAGAATCTTACACAACTTTACTTTTTCCTCACTTAAGAAATCGGAACCTAATTTAAAACTGTAGGATCATAGAAACATCTGTTCATTTTTGAAGCTACCAGTATATGAAATATTTCAAATAGCAAAACAGACAAGAAAAAGCAAAACATCAAGTTCCTACAGGCTACTACTTCCACATTTTTTCTAATTTTTTATCTCCTCACTGATAGGCAGAGAGGCCAACAAGCATTCAGCATACCTGCTCCAACTTCGTTTTCTTCTTCTTCTATGTTGTTTTTGATACTGTCGTACTCCTCATCAATTGCCTGGTTGCCACGCATCTGAGACAGAATTCTCCGGGCTCTCTGAGTCTGGCCTTTCTGAATGAGCCAGCGTGGACTTTCAGGAAGAAAGAGGAATCCAAGAAACTGTATAACTGCTGGAACAGCTGACAGGCCCAGCATGTACCTGGAAATAAGTAAATAAATAAATAAATATCTAATGTTTGCCTACAAAACCTGCTATGAGAAGACTCAGCCACAGCTACTCAAAGCTGTAATTTACAAATCAAACCCTTCTCCCCACATATTCTTTATCACCAGAAGTTAAGCAGGCAAGAATCATATTCTGCAAGTATTTTAGGAAACAGGACCCTCGCTTTCAATTCCAGGAAATCTCAAGGACATGTTGACTATTCTGCCACCACTTACTCTACAGCCACTGGTCCTGAGGACACTAAATAAGACTAAATAAAAACCCTGAAACATTCCAGTAGTTTGGAAACTGATAATCCATTCAGTGAAGACAGAAAAGAATGAACAGAAAGAGAAAGCAAAGACACAGAAAACAAATGGGTACTGCTGATGGCAAATAAGACAGAAATCCTGCTAATTGTTTTACAGACATTTAAAAAAAACAGCCAATGAAAAATGCTTAATTTGGTCAGTAATACATATACAGAGACACACATGACCAAGGAACACATATCTTGTGTAAGGAGATGCCTGTTTTACTTTTGAAAATTTCTAACTATAAGCAGAAACACTGAAAAGTGTTCATTTCACCAGCACAGCAATTTACACCAGATCTTTTAGAGCATTTGCTCTTACATCTTCAGCCAGCTGCAATGTTAGGTTTTAAATCGAAACTGCATTTTAGATGCCTGGGTGGGGTTGCTATACACAGCATTAAGGCTAGTTCTCTACTCAGAGAATTACCACCGGCCAGAGAGTTATGCTTCTGGGGATCAGCACTGACACCTGTGACAACACCCAGAGATACGGTGATTCACTCCAGCCTAAGTAGGGGGAAAAGACTACAGAAGACAAGCATACCACCAACTTTCATGGGTGGTTCTGGTCTATACACTTCACATTTTCATATTCTTTCAATTAAACACTAAGAAGAATAACAGGTATGCAGAACAATGTGTAATTTTGTTCTGCCTTTTAAATCTGACCTCTTCCCATTTGCACTTCACTGAGATTTTTTTCACTTCCATTAAAGACTTTAAACAGTGCTGGTGTCATCTGTACATTATTGCAGCTGTCACAGGTTTCACATTAGTGGTTATAATCATTAACACACCTCCAGAAACTAGCCCTCAGACTGAATACTGAGGTAGTCTGTACTCATAAACAGGTTCACACCTTGACATCAGTCAGAAGATTAAGCAGATTTGCTAATGTCCAGCTCCTCTCCTTCATGCCCTAGGATGCATGCTTTCACACAGGTTATTCAGCAGTCTCTCACCTGTATGTTTTTTATAAAACACACTATGAAAAGAGATTGCTAATAGAATAGGAAAGAGAGCACAACCATTAATGGAAACCTTGCTTCAGGGCAATGAAGCAAATCTATTCGTCAAGTCTAAATGCATTTTGGATGAAAATGAAAATGGAAAAATACTTTCTTAGAGATATTTGTAGATTTAACAAAGAAAAACATGAGCAATACCATAGGGCAGAAAACTGTAGAATGGGGAAAAGAACACCCAAAAGGTAATGCAAAGAGGATGGCCATCCCAGGACAACGTGCACGCAGGCCAGTCTTACCATCCCCAAGCTGAACCCTAAAGTTCTTCCCTAAACCAGCAAAAATTTCCAAAGGTCATGCAAGTAAATCTTGGTCTAGAAAGAAATTTGTGAGCAATTCAGAGGCAAAATCAATTGACGGTCCTGAAAGCTTGATCCAGCCTGTTAAGGCTACCAGGTTGGAATCTACTGAATTGTTTATCAGAGGCATGATAAAAAAGAAATGTACAGAAAGGGCTCACTCACTAAAATCAGCTTCCAATCAACGTGTTTCTGGTCAAAGTTGAGTGCAAGGAACAGGCAAGAAGGAAAATGTTCAGTTAAGAGGACACATCCATTGCAAGTTCAAGAGTTGTTGCAATTTCCAGATCAAGCAACTTTGATATAAACAATTTAGAGTAAAAGCAGGCAATTTTAGACATTTCGTACAGTGAGCCAGCTTTCAGAAATCTAATATAGCTCTTTCCTATACATAGTACAAGACTTTGCATTAGAAGCCAGATGTCTACCAGACCTGAAAAAATCCAGCATGAAATTTAATAAGTCTGCTGTAACATTTCCCCTCCTCAGACATACTGCTGCAATGCTATTAAGATGGCATTAGCAGGGTTTATAAAGCTAACCTGACATAAAAGTCAGGTTAAATATTTGTTTTCTTTGGTTTATTTTTAATTTAATATCCAGAATTTCTAAGAACAAGCAGAGCTGAGAAAAAGTATAGTTCCTTATTGGTTTTTTGTAGCACTCCAATACTTAGCCATTCAGTCACTAAGAGCTACAATAATTACCATGAGTTCCCTTCTTATACGTGATGACTCAGGAGTGAGCATCTGTGATTCCTCCCCATGTGTTTGCTGGCCACTCTTTGCAGGTGACAGACAATCTGTACTCTTCCCTGCTCAGTCTTAGGCTGCAATAATCTAGCTGAGGACAGACAAGTACACAATCCCCAATTAACAGCTCCAGCATGGCAGCTGAGAATCCTTGGATACCCCATCCCTAGCATAGCCTCAGTTTCTGCCCAGCATATTGTCAACAGTTTCACTTCACTTTGCTCCACTCAACCCAGCAGAACAGTACTTGGCCTGTACATAAAACATATCATTACTGCATTAGTAAAAATTAGTCAGCATGAGCCAGCAGGCTGCAAGAAACAATTACTCCTCACTATTCAACACACCACGCTGAATCTGGAAGACTGGGACCACCAACATGAAAGAGCACTACAAACCAGGTATAGCAATGGATCACTAAGACAGTCGTGCAGCTGGGGTGTATGACATAAAAGAAGAGGCTGAGAGAACTGGGTTTGTGCTGCCCAGAAAAGAGGTGATCAAGAGGAGATCTATCTCCATCTTTCACAACTGAAAAGAAGCTCATAGAGAAGAAGAGACAGACGTTTCTCAGATGTACACTGTGAAAGGACAACAGTCAATAGGTGCAAGCTGCAACAAGGAAAATTTCAAATCAAAGATGAGGGGAAACAATTCTTTACAGTAAGAGTAACTGAACATCTGAACAAGTTGAGAAGTGGAAATGTCCACAGTTGGAGATTTTCAAAAGGCAGCATCTCACACACCTCTGATCAAACACCCAACCTCCTAGTCTTGCTCAATCCACAGGTTCTAGATTTTGCTTTTAATTTTTTTTCTCAGTTCAGGTAAGTTAAAAGGCCTGAATTATACCAGAGTAGTTTATTTTCTGTTTCAAACAGAAGAGTAAGTTACACCAATGTCGAAGTTCTCAGAACAGTTGTGCAGCATTTCAGTGGGTGGGGGCCTCATTCCTATTTAAGGTACGGTGGTGTATCGAAACATCAGTGTTTTACAAAAAGATGAAATCTACATTTGACAATGGTTATTGCCTTCCACCTATCTTCCACTTTAGCTAAATATATTTACAAATTAACATATCAAAAGGTGGTAACTTGTGTGTGTATCAAACTGGAATGATATTTTTCACTTAAATAATCATTTGCACACAACTATACTTGTCAATCCTATGTCACTGCTTGATTTGAAAACTGATACGTCCTATACCACAATGCTACCTATTTGATTTTTTTCAAAACAAGCCTAGAAGTATGCTTGTGAGCTGCAAAAGTTCAAGCTAGGGAATATCTTAATTTATCTAGGTGAACCTGCTTTAGCAGGAGGGTTGGACTAGATGATCTCCCAAGGTCCCTTCCAACCCTTGCCATTCTGTGATCTGAACAATTGAACAAAAACCACAGCTCCAGTAAGATAAATACTGTTAGCTTGTATTTTTCTTCCAATACAATAGTATTTACGGAAATACACATTACAAACACATCCTTACCTCCTATGTGTCAGCCCACTAATGGGAAAAAAAAAAACCAAACCAAAACAAACACACTGTATTTACATCTACAAAAGCTTCCCCCAGCTGAATCCCTAACTGCTGAGGTAAACTGAACTTGAAACATCTGCCTAAACAGAAAGTGCACACCACCTCTAACAGTAACTCAGAGCTCCACGCCAAATACATATCTTTCTCTGTCCATTCCTTTCACCCAGGCCCATGCACAGCCGTTACACTAGCAAATTATTTAGGCTAAAAGTTAATTTAAAATAATAAAGCAGCTACTGAATAACTGGCATCAGGGATCAAATAATTCAGTTTGTATTTTACCTAGAAATGCACTACTGCATGCCATTAAGTTTTCTCAAAATTGAGCATATTTCTTCAACTGCAGAAAGGGATTAGCACTCCTATAAAACTAAGTTTCTCTTCCAGTGAAGGCCTTTTCTCCATTCTCCATAAGTGGACATATAGTCTGCCAGAGAATGCAGCTGTATTATAATGAAAAGGTCATCAAAAGCTTCATGTAAAAATGCAAAATGCTATATTCACCTGAGCTAAAGTAACCAGTGCATTTTCAGAGACCACAAAGCAGAGCTAAAATTTAAACTAAAATTAAACAAAATCAGCATGAAGTGACTTTTTCATTAAGGTGAAGATGTGGCATCTTTTTACAGAAGAGGCAAAGGAAACAATCACATGGACAAAAAGTAAAAACCTCAAACTTCTTGAATCTTCAGACATACACAAATTAAACTGTAGATTCATTAAGAAGAAAACATTAATTGTGTGTGTTAATGAGTATTTCTTTACATACTGTAAAAAGATCAGCTTCCAAGTTCTTCTATGTACCAAGTCCCAAATTAGTTATTCCCAACTTAAACCTCAAACATCAGTGCACCTCGGAACCCTATTCAGCTCCATTAGAAGCCACAGAACACTAACATTTATGTTGCAAGTTTTTGGGGTAGGGGGAGGATCCTTCAAATTAAGATTTTCAAACAGCAAAATGATTCCAGGCTGTAGCAACAGAAAAGACAGACCCTACAACATGCATCCCTTTCCCAAGAGTGTTTCAAGAGAAATGCACATAATTAAACAAAACTTTTCAGAAGCTGGAATGTACACTATAAGTTATTCCTCCTACACATTTCTGTTAATTATTTTTTCAAGTCAGCACTGCAAGTGACTGAGCCACTGAAACTTCTCATTACTCTCAAATGACACACCACCATAAAGATGGTAGGTATGAGGCTGCAGCCCAGAAGCACTGAGCGATGTCTACAGAAGAAGGTAATATCCAGAAAGTAGAGTAGAAGAGATTCTATTATTCTAGAACCTAAACTTCTAACTACAAAGTTATGCTACAGTATCTTTCACTTCAATTCTGATTGGATTACTACTGCTCAGATTAAGCATATTCAAAATACACCTCTGCTTTGCGCATGCAGCATCATACTTACTGGAAATTTGCCTTTTGAAAAATCAGCATGTAATTATTCTAAATGCAAAAGGCAAGCTACTTTCATAAACATGACAATCATTCAAGCTTGTTGATGCATAATTATTGCTCATCCATTTTAAAGTTTAGTAAAGTCAAAAAAACTAAGCACACTGTGAATATTAAGCCTAAGTGAAAACAGTATGGATATCATTTAGCAAGAGTTAATTATTAAAGTTCCATTTCAGTATACAGTTTTACCACTCTAGATGTAAACGCTATTTTACCAACAAGCATTACAATAGCTGTCAACTAAATCACAACCATGCCAATTTTGCCTTTAGCAAGGAAGACTCACAAACCTCCACCCGTCCTTCACGAGGTAGCTGAAGATTCCATCGACGACGCTTGCAAAAAACTGCCCTCCGGTGATGAACAGAGTGTTAATGGTGACTAATCTGCCTCTTAAGTGCGGTGGAGCAACTTCTGCGATGTACACTGGCACAGTCATAGATGCTACACCTACAAGAATAAATTAAATTACAGTTATAAAATTGAGAGAGATACTACAACCTTTTTTCATCATAAAATATTATAACATTTAAATGGAACAACCTGGAAGATTTTGATTTCCAGGTTCCTAAAGATTAAAAGAAAGAAAATACACCTAATGAACTCTAGAAGAATACCCAGAGCAAATGGGTACACACACTGGTTGCTACCAGCTGTATTGCAAGCTCAAGGTTTGATGTAGTGATGCAAGAAGTAACTTACTTCAATTCACACTGTATGTATACTAAGATTAAATAAAAAGCATAAATATAATTATAGTTTTGAAACAAAGAGATGCTACAATCCAAGCAAGCATATGTAAGTCAAAGTGACTAACTGAAGATGCCAAGTGTTCACAGCTCTGAGTTTAAACAGAACTTTAGCATGGTTTCCACCTCCAAGGAAAGGCAAGGCCAAGCGTTAATATTCTCACTATTATTATTGTGTAATTTCATTATTGTTATATAGAATGGATTGTTTCTTGACTTTCTTGATTGTTTCTTGACTTGGTTTAAAAGTATTCCATATGCAGTGCTAAAAACTCTACTGCCATACGGAAGCAAGGACTGAAGTTAAAGCACAGGTGCCTTTTACTCTGTCTTAACACTGGTAGTATTTCCTATTAATTATGCAATGGCTCTAAATAAGCCATTTGTGCAAGAGATAGAAGTGCCATGTGGAACACACACAGGAGCATGCATGCACACACACCCACCCCCATAAAAACAGGAGTTCAATAGCATGTAAAGAGCAGAGCTGGGTGCAATACATGCTTTGGTGGTCCAAATCCACAGACAAATTTGTGCTCTCGTTTGAAGGAAATCCGTATCCCTATTTCCTTAAAAGAACCAACAATGACAACCAAGAGCAATTTTTTGTAGGTAAAACTGGAAATACCCTGGCAGCACATGCACAAAACCACATTTCAACTGAAGCCAGCTGAGATACAACTTGAGCACAGCGAGCACGGCCGAGCAGCAGCAGAGACATCCCATGTCCCAGCCTGAGGCAGCTCCACCGCAAACACACCGACAGCCCCACACCAGCACAGCCCAGTGCCAAACCCCCAGCAAGAAAGGGGGTCACCTAAAGGTGTGCAAGGCAGTTCCCCAAGAACTGGTGCGGCTCCCGGCTCATGTCATGACAGAAAGGCTTTGTCATGAAATGGTGGAGGCTTCGGCCAGTGCCCCGCTGCCTGGCTGACTCACAGAACTAAGAGCACAAAATCACCTTTAGCAACAAGGTTAGCCTGACAGAATGGCTGGGAACCTCCAAAAGCTCGAGCAAGGAATATAGATTGTTTAATAATAAGATGGCATCTGAAGATCTTTTGTTACAATGGGTAAACGCACGCAGCAGCCTCTCAGCGTGATAACCCCGTTCCTGGCAGAGCCTCCCAGGATGCGCCAATGCAGCCTCCTCCTATTGACTGAGCAACCCACACAGAATAAAAAAAAAAAAAAATTAAAACAAAAAAAGAAAACACATAAAAGTGTCAGGAAAAAAAAAAAAAAACATTAAAAATTTATTCAACCATTTTTCAAAGCGAACCAGAACACACCACGGAAAAAAAACATTCCAATGGCCTTTTGCATGTTTGATAGAGAAGGAAATTTTCAAACACAGTCCACCATTAGGGATACTTCTCTCACATCAGTGTTTGAACTAATTATAACTAAAGCAATGCAAATAGCGCATATATAAGGGAAAAGCCTTTACGGGAAAGCACAGGTGCATGTCTCCTTTCTGGAAACAAAAGCCACTGAGGACCCACACGAGGCAGCGGCCCACGCCGGGTGGAGAGGAAGGGCCCTACAGCTGCTGCAGCCCTGCTCGGGGGAGGCTGGGCCATCCCGCTCCCCGACCTCCTCTCTGCCTTGGGCATGCCACCTCACCCTCATGCTCGCTCCCTGGTGCGGCCTGGCCATCTTCCTGTCACCAGGACTGGCCTGGCAGGACGCCCAGCTCCGCAGGGCCAAGCCCAAAGCCCAGCGTCCCGGCCTCCGCCAGCGACGGGCAGCAGAGGCCTAGGAAAGGCTCAGCAGCAAAACAAGCATCGAGTGATTCCCCTGCTACACCCTAAACAAGCTTCCAGTAATCACCAGGTTTGGGAATTTGTGACTCAGTGGACCAGAGGCCTGGTATCTCTGGAGGGGTTTTTTTGAGGCCATTCATTTTTTGCTCTCCGCTACTCTATTAAGACCTATCACCACTAACAAGCCATGGTACCTCAAAAACAAAAAAAGAAAAAAAAAAAAAAAAGGGGGGGGGGAGATAAAGTCTGCTTGCCAATGGCTATTTTATCATTTGGCCCATAAACACCTTCCCTACTGTTTGCAAGAGTAACATGAAAATGAGAGATGATTCTCTCCTGCAGAGCAGCAAGAATGAAATGAGAGACCAAGCCCTCCAACAAGGAGTCAACCAGGTATAGAAACAGAATGGGTTCTTGCAATAAATACAGGAAAGAAAAATATGGTTGTGTTTCCATCTTTCAAGGGACACAAAGAAAAAACTGACCTTACATCTTTCTCTTGGAAAGTACTGAGTCAGTCCCTAGCACTCATCCTCCCCCATGCCCTGCAAGCACCGATACCATTAAAAGCTTTAGAAAAATAACATATACTCCCAAGAAGGATATCTTTGAAATAGATAATCATCTAGTGAAGTTAATCTGAAAGGTAAAGATGGCAACATCTTTATGTGGATTTTACTGGAAGGCAGTTAGAAAGATGTGCACAACCAAAACCAATATCTGCTCTGTAAAAAAGCTACTTTTTTCCCCCACTCATCTCTTACTGAAGGATGATCTTACACAGTATCTGCAGAGCAATCTTGTTCAAAACATGCCAGCCACATCTGCTTCTCAGGCATCCAAAAAGGAGAGCCATGCCATTGACCAGCCCAACAACTACTGCCAACGTTCAATGCGCACCATCAGTCCTGGGACACTTCTAGAGCCACCGTTAGCCCCAGCTAACACACTTGCTATTTACAGGTGACACTAAAGCCTGCTGCTGTAACATTAGAATACTGTGAAGATTAAAACATGTTTGTAAAGTGTCTTGAAGAGGCACCATGGCAGCAGGAGGTTTACTATTTCTGCTGCATTCTTGCCACAAAGTTAATGACTGCAGGAATTAGCAGAGGAAGGGGAAGCTTGCATACCTCAACAGTCGCGTCACAAGCCAGCCAATGATACCAGCTATTCAGCTGGCTTTGATACAATACTTGAAATTATTTATTATCAAACCTGCGATGAAGAGTACATAATTTCTTAGGAAAACCTAAGGAGTTAGAGTATTAGTTCAAAATCACACAGAATTGTTTAGATTGACAGGGACATTTGGAGATCATCTAGGCCATCTTGAACCCCTGTTCAAGCAGGGTCAGCTACAGCAGGTTGCTCAGGACCATGCTCAGTTAGGTCTTGACCATCTCCACAGGCAGATCTCCAACCAAAACGATTCTGTGATTCCACGACTTCCACATCAGCTTTCTCATCAGAGACTTTTCACAATGTTGCTGTCAAAAACAGCCTTTTGGGCTTTGTACTCAAGACCTTACTTCCTCTGCTGAGTTTCCCAAAACCTATAGGTTCAAAACATCTGAACAAAAACCTCAGTTCAGAAGATAAATTTATGTTAGGTAATTCCAGTTATCATTCAGATATCAAAGCATATGCTTTGCTACTCTGAGCCTGAAACAGAGTGCGGCAGGAGGTGGCAGGAAATGGGAGGAGGCAATGAGGAAAGCTCCCGGCTTTGTCCAGCTGCCCAGCAAGCATTCACACACAAAAGCAAAGTTCTTTCTCAAAAAATCACCGGGAGTAAAACAGGCTATTCTGAAAGAGTTCAAATTAAGGAGAAAAAAAAAATCATACCACTTTGAGGAAACAATGGTTTAGATTCTATAATGTTATTTACATTACAGATTTGCTTTCAATTGCCTTAGAACGCATCAGTGTTGTCCAGATTTTCCTCCTCCAATTTCAATTTAAGACACAGTAGAATATAGGAGAGTAAGTTCTTGTGAAAAGGCATTGTTGGAAGCAAGGCATTAAATGTTAATCAACTATAAAAATCTCTAAAATACATAACAAGCATTCGTTATGTAGTTATTTTAATAGATACGTATTAAAGAAATTTGAAAACAAAGAACAGCTCTCCTAGCAAAATAAATATGGCTGCAACATAATCTTCTTTTAATCTTTCATAGGAGAATGCTTTCATTTACAGTTAGATGACATATTCTAATATGCTCTCACTGTTAAACTGCTCACACCAAATAAAAGATTCTTGCTGCAGGCAAGTATATTACTACCTAACTAATAAAGCTGATAAGTGACAAGATGTGAGGAAATGAAAATGAAAACAATTAACTGGAAATCTGTCAGAGAAAGTTTAAGCTCTACATTGTGCATCGCAGCTATGAAATCTGAGAGGAGAGAGCAGACAAGCCCAATCTTTATCCACTTGAGTAACTATGGCATTAACCTTCTGCCCTCATTAAAGAATATAGTTCAGAAAAAAAATATAGCAGAATGTTCCTTAAATTTAGACCACAAGATGCATCTAATTATTACAGGAAGCATTAGATGACACAATGGACTGAAATCATCATATTATATGCTTTTTCACTTCTAAGATCACTTAGGAGACTAATTACTAGAGCTGCTACTATAATCTGCAGACTTACCACTGGAAAGAAGAGACAAGACAGTGCACAGCTCAGTTTTAAGACAATCAATACAAAGCAGGTGTGAAGTCATCTTAGAATCACGTTACCGTCCAGAAAGGTATTTTCAGTATGAACACATAAGCATTCTAAAGAATTAATTACTTTCTCTCTGACAGGAGAGAGAAAAAGTTCATGAAGGAAAATTCCTATGATAATTAGGAGAATTAAAAATATATTTTAAGAAATGAGATTAAGGTAGCAAAACAAAAGGACTACAGAATGAATCCAAG